TCACTTCCCCCTCCTACTCTCTTCCATGCCTCTCTGGCATGCCTTTGTCACACCTGTCATCTCAGAAGTCATCTTACGCATGTATTTGTTTTTTGGATATCTGTTATCTCCAAACAGAGTATACAATCTTGAGGCATTTGACTGCACATGATTCCCTTCTATTTTGGGCCCTCTTGTCTAGAAGAGTGTTTGACTCTAAGCAGGTACTCAATAAATGAGTCCATAAGTTAGCAAATGACTGGTAGGTCCTATCTTGAAGTGTGTGTGTGTGTGTGTGTGTGTGTGTGTGTCTGTTTAACCACCTTCCATTCTTTACCAGTCAGAGAATAGAAAAGGTAAGAATGTCAGGCCATTCGTATGAAAAGATGCTCAGGAATGCTAGTTAGGGATACACGGAAGTTCAAACACATACACATACAAGTATATTATTTTCATCAATCAAATTGGAAATAATGAAAACCTTGATATTAGCCTGTCCTGGTGAGGACACGGAAAATGGGAATTTTCATGCCTTACTAGCAGGAATATAAATAACTAGAATATATTAAAAGTATTTAGAAATCTATTGTAATTGAAACAGATATAATTAAACTTTTGAATCTTGCCATTCATTTTTAAAACTTTTTTTTTGCTGTGAGATGCTAATACACAGAGATTATACAAAATTAAATAGGAAGCCTAATGAGTTATTATAAAACAGATACTTGTATACTCACTAAGTGAAGTCAGTCATTTCCAGAAGCTTCTTTTATAACTCTTGTTAATTAAAAAAAAAAAAACCAAAACTTGATTTCTCTACTTTCCTAATTTTCCTTTTTCTTTACAGCTTTATGCTTGATATAAATAGAATGTTACAGTCTATATTCTTTTGGGTTTGGATTAGTATGTTTGTGAGATTATCCATATTGTGCAGATAGCTGCAGTTTATTTTCATTTCCTTGACATTGAATATCCACTTTTGGGTCTTCTGGCTCAACTACACAGACTAATATTGTCTTAGTTGATTAGTATTGCTATGATAGACCGCACGAAGCTAGCAATTTACAGTAATTCAGATCTACGCGGGCATGATTTTGGAGGCTTGGAAGTCCAAGAGCACGGTGCTGGCATCTTACAAGGGCTAATGGCAGGAACTATCAGATGGCAAGAAGGCAAAAGCATGTGTCAACTTGTTTTCTTTTCTTCTCCCTCTAAAGCCATCGGTGTTCAGCCATGAGGATCTCATGCTGACGACTGTGTATGATGCTAGCGGTTTTCATTAATGTGGTGGTCAGATGATGTCCTCCAGCTTGTCAGGTCTTGGATGCTCTCACACAAGTCTGGTGTGTTTCTGACAACCAGGCTGGCGAGTCACAGAGTCACACTGTGGTCAGAGATGAGCTGTTCTAGATCCCACATATCCAGGACACTGAGCAGTATTTGTCCTTCTGTGTGTAATACTTGTCTATGTGTGGTTTTGACACCAGGTTGATGCTGGTCTTAAAAGTGAATTTGAAAGTGTTCACTTTTTTATTTCTTGCATGAATTTAAAGTCTTGATATTAATTCATCTTTGAATATTTGGTCAAAGTCACCAATGAAGTCATCTGGTCCAGGGATTTTCTTTATCAGGTTATTTCTGATTACTGATCTTATCTCTTTATCAATTTGTTCAACCTTCCTTTTCTTTCTTTTTTTTTTTTTTTTAAGTTTCTTTCTTTCTTTCTTTAGAGCATGTGAGGGAGAAAGAAAGACAAGTACTCTCAACAAAGTCTTTTTCTGGAGGGAACCAGCAGTTAGCGTAATGGCTATGTCGCTGGACTCCCACGTAGTCGACCGCGGTTCGTGTCCCGAACCTGGTGGCTTAGAACTCACGCCGGGCGCGTGTGCGTGCGTGCCCAAGATCCCGAGAGGAGAATGGAGGAGAAGGGACTGCGGCGTGACCATCCCCCCTGGGGGGTGATTTCTCGCTTTCTGTCTCTATGTCTCTCTCTGTCTGTCTGGCGAGCGCACGCGCCCTATAGCGAAAATCTCTCCAAAAAAAAAAAAAAGTCTTTTTCTGGAGAAGTGTCTTTTTGTTTGTTTGTTTTGCTGTAGAGCACATGTGCTTGCCAGAAAGACAGAGAGAGACAGAGAGACAGAAAGCAAGAAATCCCCCTGCCCCGAAGGTAGATGGCTATGCCATAATACCTTCTCCTTCATTCCTCTTGGGATTTGGGACACACACACACACACACACACACACACACACATGCCCAGTGTGTGTTTAAAGCTACTGGGTCTGGAACTTAAACTGCAGTTGACCATGTGGGAATCACGAGCTACCTGCTGGTCTTCAGAGTCTGATTTTTCAATTTGTGTCATCTCTTCTCTAGGTAAGGGTTTGTCAATCCATTTATTTACTTATTAAAAACCATGAGATACACTTTTTTCTCACCACCACATGGAACCTTCTCGAAGACTGACCACATCATAGTGCACAAAGCAAGCCTCTACAGATTCAAAGGCATAGAAATTATACCCAGCATCTTCTCTGACCATGATGGAATTAAACTTGAGTTTAATTTCAAGAGAAATCCTCAAAAATACTCAAATACATGGAAACTTAATAATCTACTCCTGAATGACTCCACCACCACTGAAGAAATAAAGACTGAAATCAAATGGTTCATGGAAACCAATGACAATGAGGACACGAGTTTCCATAATCTTTGGGACACTGCTAAAGCAGTCATAAGAGGGAAGTTCATAGCAATTAGTGCACATAAGAGGAAGATG